TAAAATAATTTAGTCGCTGAATATTCTCCTTTTTTTTTTCCAATGGTATTCTGTCAATTTATCTGCAAATTAGATGGAAGAGTAGTTGGGTAACTATGTTCCTCAAAACCCAAATACTTGAATAATGAGGTTCACGCTCGAGCGTCCCAAGATCCGCTCGAGCGCCGGATGCACTCTCCCAGAATTTTCTGCAGATGTCCAAAATGCTGAGAGAAGGAAATTCACGCTCGAGCGTCCAAACGTCTGCTCGAGCGGAAAGGCAGCAACAAAATCCCGCTCGAGCGTCAAATCGCCGCTCGAGCGGAGAGACCAAAACCTGGGCAAAATTTCTAAGTTTTAAAACACGACCAACTTATTCCCAACTTGCCCAACACAACCCAAAACTCTAATTAAAGGAGTAGGGGATAGAAATGAGGATAAGACAACAACGAATCTACGGAACCAAGTCCGGATTGCAGTTAAACAACAACAGGAAATACCGGGATCACTATACTATGCATATCGCAATATAAGTCAAGACTTATTAAAAAATTCAAACAAAATAGACGGCATAGGAATTACATAAGTCAAAACTAACAAACAAAAAAAATGTCTGCAAATTTTTTGTTGAGTGTGAGTACTTGATTTCCAGTATAATCAAATTAATAGTAACATGAAAGAAGAGAATCTCTCCCTCCTTTGTTGAGTTTGAGCAATATTTTGACCTCCAAAGGATGATTACAGAAACACGCTGCTAGTTTACTAGTGTAAGTTTTATTTGCTAGCCAGTTTACAGCCATATTAACCACTGTAACATATGAATGGTTCAGCCATATTGATTTCTTCCATAGCATGATAACATCTCTCAATGAATAGGCTTATGATTTTCCAATACTTTAGGCATAATACTAAGAAAAATGCTTTGGAGCTCTAATTCTTAAGCTCTAAAGCCAGCTCTAATGAGCTGGCAGGGGTTCCACCCACTGTGATGTGATGTGATGTTTTGATCTTGATTTTTTTTTTTTTTTGTCTCCTTGCAATGTCATTAGTGCTCCATTAGAGCACCAAAATTAGTGCTTTGAATCATTGCTGTAATACTAAATAGCACCCACTAAGATATGATTTCACCATCACCTTTTTTAAGAGAGATCTTTTAGGAACTCATACAAACTCACCAACATACATCAAAATTACCCTTTTGTTCAGTAAAGAGAAGAGTCCATCAATCACTTGTTTTAAAACTAGTTTCATGCACACCAGGGCATTTTCTGTAATTAAAAAAAAAAATCAAATCACTGCTAATATAGATATACTAAGTCTTATAGTAGTCATCATTAAACATATTTGTCGCTGACTCATCTATAAAATAGTAAAAGTGAAGTTTTCTAAATGTAGCTTCCTTTCTTATCTCCAAAGTTGCCAAACGATGCTCACAACTTGTTAAGAAGTCTTACTTCTCTCATGGGATTTGACATTGTTTGCTATTAGCAGCCCCTCAATAACAAAACCTTCTCCTAGGAATGTTGGATAAAGAGCTTATATAAGCTTTAAATGACTCAGTTACAACTATCAAACATAGTGGTACATCAAGTATGTTCCTCCACCACATTTTGCCAGCCACCACATTACTCACAGGGTTTCAAATTCCCCAATTAAGCAGAAACTTAATTTTTGACACCCTAATATCACAGCCACATAGTATTGGTAACCTTTGGCCGTGGTTTGGGTTCTAAATTCTCTTTGATGCAGTAAGAAATTTGTTTAGGTCCTTCACTCTAGTCCAGGATTTGGATTGAAGAACTGAGGCTGAAGAGGGTATGGATTGAATTCTTAACAGTACACTTTTAGTCCCATTTTGCAACTTCAAGTAATGGATTTTGAAGAACTGAGTGGCAGATGTGAACACATAATGGATGCTATTAGAAAATTATGTTTTCCCTACTGTGCTTGTGTGGGAAAGCATGCCTTCTACATCAACAATCTCTATCATAAATATTACTCATTAAAAAAAAAAATCATGGTTTTGACTAATAATACATCGAAGGCTCTCTTTTTCTCTTCCTTCATTATTAGCCCTGCCCTTTGCCCCTCTAGTTTGTAGCTGCCCTTTTCTAACTGCTTTTGTTTTTTTTTTTTTTTTTTTTTTTTGGTTTGGTTTCATGTCATAACTGCTTCTAGTTTTTAGAAAACTTACAAACTTAGTTTGTCAATTCCTTCTAAGGTAATGAGAATTGAAAACATCCTTCAGTTTTGCTTCATAGCATTTTATGTGTTTTAATTACTTTTCTGTTTTATATCATTTTAGAATGTGCATTGTTGGGAAGGACTAACTTGTTAAATCTTTTTCCTAACTCGTTTTTGTTTGAGAACTATTATATATCACTAGACAATTTCAGCATTTTTTTTTCACCTTCTACCTGAGAAGCATGGACACGGACACGTGACACGACACGGATACGACACGGACACGCTGACACGTTAATTTTCAAAAAATACAGGACACGATACGTAGGGGACATGCATGAAATATATAATTTTATATATTTATTATATATTTTATATATAAATATATCATTCAAATATAATATAAAATGCAATATGACACTAATTTCTATAAATTTATATGGGTTTTGTTTTATTATTATATCTTAAATTGTTGCATTCAAGCTTATAATTAGTTTCACACGTGTCTAATCAATAGACACGTGTGTTTAAGTGATTGACACGTGTCCTCCAAGTGTTCAAAGAGTATTTGGATCTTTAAAAAAAATTTAAAAATAGGACACGTTTTAAAGAGTGTCAGACACGTGTCCTAAGAGTGTCCAAAGAGTGTCGGTGTCCGACACGAACACGACACAGATACGTCACCTTCTTAGAAGTGTCTGTGCTTCTTAGCCTTCTACGTAGATTATGCAACAAATGTTATATGTACATGTAAGACATTAATATTCTTATTTCCCTTTTTGTTTTGTTCACATATCCCAACTATTTCTAGTCTATAATAACTTCGAAGCTGATCTTATAAACTTCCTATTAATGTAGCAATTAGTGAATGAAATATAAGATAATTTTTTAGACAAATTATATAATAGTCTCCGAGTTTGTTTCTTGTGTTTAGATAAATTTTACATATAGTCTCTATAGTTTATTTTTTGTGTTAATTTAGTCTTTGTAATTTTAATTACATCAAATATTTGATTCAAATACAACCTTAATAGATTTCACAAATTTCTATGAAATGAAAATTTGAGCATCAGATTTTTCTCATTTCTAAGAAAAGGATTATATCCAAGCTTTTCTCAAGACAATTTATCACCCAATGAAAATCAGAACCAACTTATTCAAAAAATAATAAGGTTGATTGAAGAAGCCAACTTTTTTTTTGATTGTCAATTAAGTGATTCTTTTCCTCTGTTCTATTATTAAGGTTGATTGAAAAAGCCATTTTTTTTTTTTTTTTTGAAATTATAGCTACCTTGTTTGCCCATCTAGATTGTAAAGCAAGTTTTAGTCTCTTTTCCTACATTTCGAGATGGGATGCTTTTTGGATTTTCTTTATGTTATGTTTGGATCATGGATTTGGCTAGGGAAAGGGAGAGGTAAAGGGAAATTGCTGAAAGTCATCATACATCCATTTCAAAATCTGTTTGAAAAGCATAAACCTATTTCAAATTATATAATTTTGCTATTGAATTTTTTTGTTTGAAAGTATGTGTTAAATGTTGGTCATACATTAATGAATCATTTGGCAGCCACTTAGTGAAATTATAAGAATATAATATGGACTCCAGAGTAGGCCTATCAACGGGTCGGATCCGGATCGGATATATCGAAATCCGATCCGATCCGATAACCATTAATCCGAATTCGAATCCGATTATTAAAAATCCGACTACTTACAACCCGATCCTATCCGTGTTAAACGGATATCCGATCTGTATAATCCGATCCGATCCATTTTTTTTCTCTCTCTCTCTCTCTCTCTGTGGTTAGCAGCCTTAGCCACTACCAGTGGTGGTTTTGAAGAACTTGGCATTGGACTGTGAAATCAGAGACCCATAAAAGTAGATTGAACATGAAACATGAAAGTAGCTGCACATTTGATATAAGCCAGCATATTGCACATAAGGAAAAATTGAAATTATGGACATCCTGTTTCCATCTGTTTGTGCTATGACTCTGTGAAGCACACTCTCATATTTGCCATTGGTGATTACCCGTGTATAGAAAATGAATGTATGAAAGTCCACTACACATGCATAAATCCCAACAACAAAATGTAAGCAAATTATGCATTTTGTCATCAAATAGAAAAATGAACATGAAAGTAGCTGCAGATTTGATAAACTTCAAAATCTTCCTGAGCCAACATATTGCACACAAGGAAAAATTGAAATTAAAAGGAAGGGTTTCCCAAGAAGAACCATCACTACAGCATTTTCCAAGGTAATTGAGAGGACTCAATAATAGACAAAACCACAACCTATGAAACCGAATTAACTGTCACAGAATCATTAAAGCTTCAATTGTTGATTCCAATGATTCAACCTGCATAGAGAATCAATGTAAAGAAATTGAAGAAAAAAAAATCAAAAACAGAAGTATGTTTTTGTATATTGAATGCATCCACAAAGTAAGCAACAGAAGAATTGAAAGGCTTAAACACAAATGAAAAACAATATACAAACAATTGAAACCTTCCTGGCCACAAAGTTCACAGTCTAGTCTCAATAGTTCATTCCAACATATACCAAGCAAGTGAAAGTTTCAATATTACACCAATGCTATAAATATTACCAATCCAAAACAAAATTGTTTTTTGGTTTACCATTCAAAATTGTACTAAGGCAATCAAGCATTAATCATAATTGTTTACACTCCCACATATCTCATTTCTCATTTGCTTGAAGAGAATGGAAATCGTGTCAGATATTAATAACAGGAACACTGTCAACTCTGATTTATCCATCCATGGATATTCAGATTGAGTTACAGAACAAACAATTTGAGAAGTATAATCTCAGTGGTTGTTGGTATCTAAATTAGAAGAAAAATGAAAGAACCAAGATTTTCATCTTATCTCCAAGTATCCAACCCATTCAAGATCTAACCATCCTTCTTGCTCTTAGAATCTGCTTGCCCTTTGCTCTGTTCTGCCAAAGTGAATTTCTTCACTTTCTGTAGATGTAAGAGAAAAGGAAACAAAATCAAGTGAACTTATCCCCTTTATACCATTTCCAAAGTGCATGTACCATAATGACAAAACCCAAATTGTAAAAGGCAGAGATGAGAAATATACTGACCTAAATGTGACAGTGACAAGGCTGCAGCTTAAGATAACTTCTCCTAACAGAAAACAGAAGTTCAGTTTAAGATAACAGAAAACAAAAGACAAAAGTTCAGCTTAAGATAACATAAAACAAAAGTTGAAAAGCAAAACCCACATACAGAACACATTAAGATATTTATAGAAACAAAAGTTCAATCCATCTACTCACGTCAGCATTCTTCTACATCTGCAATTTCAAAATAATGTGACATTAAGATATTTATAGAACTAAACTAAAGAACATCTAATTATTTAAAAACTTCAATATTTCACTTACTACTATTTTTGGTTGATTCAATCCAATCATTGCAAGTGACCAAGGCCTCCACAATATCTAGAAGTAATGAAGCACGTGTCTCATCAATCACCCTACCTCCTACACTAAACGCCGCCTCTGATGCAACCGTAGTGGCTGGAACACTTAAAACATCACGAGCCATCCTTGCCAAAGTAGGAAATTTTGCTTTATTCACTTTCCACCAATGTAGAATATTGAAGCTCTCATTACTTGGAAACACCAACTCCTCCAACTATTGCTCCACCTCTGATTTTTGATAGGCATGAATGTTAGAAGCACGTTCTTGGGCATACCATGCATGAAAAGCAGCCAAAATTTCTTGTTTCGAAGAACCCACATGCAATTGACTACCACTTGAGCTACTACTTTCAGAAACAAGGGCAATGCAACTCATAGAATCAGAAGAATCACTCCTATACTCATAAAAAAGATCAACAAAACCATTACGGACCTTCTGAATATGCTTATTAGCATCAACACCATAAATAAGCCCAAAGTAGTATTCCACCAAGTCCATTTTAAATCTCGGATCAAGAACCACAGCAATTGCTAACACCAAAGAACATTCTTCCCAATATTTTTGAAATTTCACCCTCATTGGACCGGCCATCAATCGAATGCAATCATACTCACTTTGCTCCCATTTTTTCATTTCAAGTTGAATAAGACAAATATCGGGAAAAAACACATTTGAAGTCGGAAAAGTGGTACCACTAAAGTGAGATGTAGTATAAAAAAAAATCTTCAAACACCCACAAATCACATTTGCTACATTCCACTCATCCTCAGAAGGATTGTGCTTATATTGTTTGTCAATTTGCCCTAAGCGGTGGAATGCACTTTTCAAATCTAATGCAGCTTCAAGCATGGAATAAGTGGAGTTCCATCTGGTAGGAACATCCATGGGGACTTTCTTTTTATGATGTAACTTAACATGATTCACTGCAACATCAAATTTTTGTTTTCCATAAGGAGACCTCCCTAAATGTCTCACACTTTCTCGGATTTTTGAAATAAGACTCCCAATCACCTTCAAACCATCCTGAACAACTAAATTCAATATGTGCGCACTACAACGCACATGAAACAATTGTCCACCCAAATGTAGTAATCCTTGTTCATGTAGCCATCGCTTTAAGAGTCTCACCATGACATCATTACTCGTTGCATTATTGACTACCATTGAAAACACCTTCTTATCTATGTTCCACTCTAAAATTAGATCTTTGATAAAACTAAACAAATGGTCTCCATCATGCGGGTAATCAATGCGTCTATAAGCAAGGATTTTCTTCTTCAACTACCAATCATTAGTCACATAATGAGCAGTCAAACATGTATAGGCAAAATTCTGATGGTCTAAAGTCCATATATCAGTTGTCAAGGTGATCTTAGAAGAGAGTTCATCCAAAAATTGATATAACTTGGCCTTTTCTATTTCATAAACATCAAGGACATCCGCCCTAACAGTGTTACGAGAAACAAGTTTGAACATTGGTTGAAGATTATTACAAAAATATTTCAAAAAATTCATGCTCGGCCATGTTAAAAGGATAATTGTGCTTGATTACCATCCTAGAAAAATCCATACGACTTCTCTCTTGATCGAATTTAAAATTTGCAGCCTTAGGAGTAGATTCAGAAGCAGCCTTACTAGCATTCCTAGGGGCATTTGGCCCTTTAAGTACTGGACATATCTTCGACAAATGATTTTTTAAATGACTAGTCCCTTTCCTACTCTCTCCAACAAATTCCCTATTGCAATGCTTACATCTGGCTATGCCATTTCCATTAGGTCCTTTAAATTTGACAAAGTTATCCCATACCTTTGAAGTTAGTTTTCGAATCCTCTTTGTGGGTCCTTGAGATACATCGTCATCCAACTCGGCATCATCAACAGTAATAGGTTCGCTATAATCCGAAGACATCTTTGGCTCAAAAACTCAAATATGCACTGCACAAGAAATCAAACGTAAAGGAGCAGGAGTTGGCAAGATAATTATGCAACGAACAGAACTGCAGACAAGCACAAAACAATGTGCACCAATTTGGAAATTATATAGATTTGTGTGCATGTGATCAATCTATTGTAAAGGCATGTGGAATTCATTTAAAAGCAACACAACTGATAAGCAGCTATCCCATTACTAAGTCTTTGCAGAGGATTGTAGTGAAAAGATAAGCAGGCATGTTTGTGGATTAGGGGTTTTAATTAACTAAAACATTGGCAAATTCAATGTATAATAATGCAAGTGTTGGCATGCATAAATAACATCATAAATTGTTGAAAAAAATATAACAATGCAATTAAAATATAGCAATAACAATCATAGTATAATGCACCAACCATAATAGATATATAATTAGTGGAAGATATATAAGATGATGGAGTTCTAAAGATGCATGTACTACAAAGGAATTTAAACCAACATCCTATCATTGAGACCCACAATTTCCAAAACCTATGGACACCAGTCATCTTAATTCAATAATTTTACAGACACAAAATAATTAATAACAAAGATAGACCAGACCCATGAATCTAACATAGAAGAGAAATTTCAGAATGAAAGTATAGATTATAATTCCAATTTTCATCGAGATAAAAAGTGAAAATTAAGATAAAAAATTATATAGATAAACACATTTTCTTGTCTCCACATTGAGTTGAAAAATATAGCATCTGAAATCTATAATAGAATTAACAGTCACCTGTACTGCTATGTAGCAATTCTCCTTCCTCATATCCTGAGTTGACTAGATATAAACTGTATTTCAAATTCTAAAAAAAAAATGTTGGACTTTGTTCATGAAGGTTTCAATCAATCTAACCACAAACTTCTAACAGTCCCATTTTGCAACCACCAACACATCAAAATCAATCTGTGCAACCTCCAAGCAAAAAGACCATACAACAACAATTGAAATGCTAATGTCAATTATCATCAAACAAACAACCCAAAGTACCCATCAAATAACAAATATATAGAGTCCCAAAAACATCCAAGAAAATGTTTCAGAATTGATTTTCCATTCAAACAAACAACCCAGACCTCTTATATAAAGGAGAAACACAAGCACAAGGCAGTAAAAAGTAGATACAATGACAAACACAAACGGATCAGAGAGCTCACCGAAGAATACCTAGATCAGAGAAGTTGGAGAAGAAGACGATGAAAGATAGATTTGATATTGACCAGAGAGCTCACCGAAGAATACCTAGATCAGAAACGGCACAGAGCTCGATTTGGCTAAGTTCATCGTCGTCAATCGGAGTAGGAAGAGACGATTAGAGAGAGATTTGATTATGAGAGAGATCTAGGTACTCTATTATACGAAATGATGAAAGAGACAATGAGAGATATTTGATTCTAAGAAAACTGATTTGGTTTCTAGGAATTCAATCGGATTAGGCAAACAAATGGACCGGATCAGATTTATCCGAATCTGAACCATTTTAAATCGGGCTACGCAAGTTCGGATTAAACAGATTTTCGGATTTGGATATGTATAAATGGATCCGGTTAATCAGATCGGATTCGGATCGGATTCGGGTTATACCCGATCCGTTGACAGGCCTATTCTAGAGTATTTAGTAAGTTTTAACATGATTGTAAGATGGATTCATTTCTGGGGGGGTGTGCTCAAGTTGATTCTTTGCATGAAGTTTGAGTGGTGCAGTTGTCCAATAGTAAAGTCATGTGTTATGGATTTCAGAACCTGCTGTTGAAGTGCAGAGACTGTTCATTCATTGCTCAAGCAGTGAAGTGATGACCATGGTGGTCTATCTTGGTAGAGTAAGTTACGAGAGTATGAAACTGCATCATTTCCAGATCTGATTGCTTTATTTCTCTCTCCAGAGATGCAAAACAGTTACAGAACTTATCTAGAGAATGAACTAGTCATTGCTTGGAGTTCAATTGGAGATCTAAGGGTCTTAGAGAATGAATTGATGAACTGCAAGACGGGTCTTGGAGAGTGAACTAAGCATTTTGACGTAACAGGAAGCTTTCCGGTGCCAAATGTGACATGTAGGGATAGAAGGTACGTAAATAGGACATGTAGGTTGGGAGTTAGAGTTGAAACGCCAAAAGCATTTGGAACAGTGGGAACACTATCTCCAACCTTTTGCAATGGCATAGATAGTTGAGTTTTTATTCCACTCATTTATCTACATTTTTTTAGTTTCATAAGACAGTAAAAGCTCCACCTTTTTTACCTTCTATTTGAAGAAAATGTTTGATTTCACTGTAAAAATTTATTCAGTCCTTAGTTGCTCATTGTGTGTTATTAGATTGTTTACATTATCAGTTTCCAAAAATTTTCAATACATGTTTATCCCTATGCATTCACTAGTAACATACTAGCTCTATATGCAGGATTCAAAAATTAAATGAATTGGACGAATTTCACTTTATGTTTTACTCCATGTGCTGTATATGCAGTTTATTGTTTGATACTTGGAAATAGGCACATGAACCCCATGGTTTGTGGGCTAAACATAGAATTTGAATGTATATGACACTTGTCTAGTGAATATTAGTGTTTGAAGGCATGTAAAATATAGAATTATGGTTTTAAGGTGCACCCATCTTTAATATTTGAATTTTGTTCCTATTTATGCAAGCATGCCAATGACAGAATATAATCCTTAATATATTTTTGTCGGGGTTTTTTGGTTGAATGAAGCCCTCATCTAATTAAGTGAGTAGGTTTCCTCACACCCAGTCACAAAGTGATGGGTTCCCTCAAACTAGTCACCTGCATAGTGATGTTGGATTCTGCCACCAGACATTTGTAAACATGTGGCTTAAAGATATTGTTACTATCTCTCTGTCTTCATCATGTGTGTGTAACATACTGTAGAACTGTTCAAAGTTCTGTGGATCTGTATAACTGTGCAGAGTGTATGGATAGAAACCTTCACAGTTTTTCACTAGAGAAATTTACTGGCCTTATATTTACATGGATCCTGATACTTGATCAAGTATTAGTTATTCAATAGCTCTCCATAAGCTTATGATTTTCTATGGGATGCATTTTTAATGCTACTTGGTGCATGATTTATGGAATGTCAATAGGGAGTAGCACATATGGGTTTCTGGTCTGTTTTTTTTTTTTTTTTGAACTGATGTTTCAGTTAGTATGGGTTCTTGAAGGACTAATATGTATATATTAATCTATGTTGTATGTACTCAGATTGAACATCAAATAGAGCAACTAGATTATGTGTTCGAATTTTTGCTTATTATTAGGATTACTTTTATAGCAACATCAATTTATTAGCAACATCAAGTAGAGCAACTAGATTCATATGTTGTATATACTCAGATTGAACATCAAAATTTTTATTTCATATATATTCGAGTATGCAAAACTAATGATTAATTTGAAAAGATTACTTAATTTCGAGTTTTATATATATATATATATATATATATATTATAATTTTAAATTGGCCAATATTTAGTCAATACTAATTATTATTATTATTATTTTATTTTATTTTATTTTTTTTGCGGATGGTTTTTGACGTACAAATGTGGATATGACTTTTTTTGACAAGTACGAAGGGGCATTGTTTTTATACTTGTGTCCGTATATATAGTGGTTCATACAAATTACTTTTTTGGCATGGTAAATATCTAAAATTTGGTCGGGTAGAAATTAGCATTGGACGTGGTACAAATTAGTTTTTGGAGCGGTGGTACAGATTTCCTTTTGGATATTAAATTTGGTTAATCCTCAATTGTGTATGTAATTAAATTATTGAGGTTGGATTATACTTGATTCATATGGAATTTGTATTACATTTAGAATTGGACATTCAATATGAATTTTTTGGTTGGTTGGAAATGAAATGTGTGCATGTTGTTGAATGTTTGATAATATATTCAGTATTGATGGATTATATTGTTTATACAGAGTATAGGTTGCACTAATAATGGATACAGATGGTTCAGAAATTATAAAAAACAAAAAATTAATATAATATTTGACGACTAAATATGATGGTAGCCAAAAATGTAAGCAAATGTTTTGGCGACTAATAATTTAGTAGCAAAAAAGAACCAAATGGTTTTTTACGACCAAACAGTTAGTAGCTAAAATAAATCAGAATGAGGGGAAGAAACTATTGCTGATTAAATATTTTAGTCACGAAAAATATGGCATCCTTTGACGACTAAAATGTTTGGTGGTAAAAAATAATGCAATGAAAATGAAGAGGCTTTTCGTGACTAAAGTTTGTAGTCAGTAAAAGTAATGACGACTAAACTATTTGGTCACTAAATGTATGTATTCTATTGACTAAAACTTTAGTATCTAATTGTTGAATTTTAGTTTTATGTGAGAACTTTCGGTGACTAATATTTTAGTCACCAAAAGATCACCTTTGCTGACTAACTAAAGTTTAGTAGCCAAACGTTTAGTTTCAGCAACCAATATTTTAGTCACCAAAAGATCACCTTTGCTGACTAACCAAAATTTAGTAGCCAAACATTCACTTTCGGCAACTAATGATTTAGTCGCCAAAAGATAACCTTTGCCGACTAACCAAAGTTTAGTAGCCAAACGTTTCACTTTCGACGACAACAAATAGTTTAGTTGCCAATACTATCGCCAACAGGGTATAGGCAACGACCTTGGCGACAAAAGAATTTAGTCGTTAATTAGTTTTGGCGACCAAAATGGGACTTTTGGTGACCAATATTTTGGTCGCTAAAATTGTCATTTCCTATAGTGACTGTCTACATATGCAGATGCAGAATCTTTTGTTGAAATAAAAATAGTGGATGATAGGGTGGTGGCGTTATAAGCAAACAACACCAGATCAATATCGTGATGGGGGCGAAATAATAAACGTAATTAGGGCAATGACAGTCTGTATGATAGTGAGAATGAGGAGAAAAGCGGTTGCAATAGTGGGAATAGTGATCCATAGATTTGTGAAGTAATCACACTTCAATGATGCTACTACTTTGTTCCACCATCTCTTGCAATGAGCGTCACTTTGTTACATTGTTCAGTGAAGTAGAACTGCTAAGAAACTATTCTTCCTTTACCCAAGTTGTTGAACAGAAGTGCTACCTCTTCGTCATCACCAAGCCAGTTGTCAAGAACTTTATGGCGATGAAGTTGGCTCACGTCTTTTTTGGTGTTGATAAGTTGATCCATTCTTTCTCTGGTGTTAGAAACATCAGCACTCTGTGTCAATCTATGGTACTCCATTGGGTAGTTCTCATTTTCCAGTGTTAGCAGTAAAATGACTTGCGAAATGAAAATCCGTAAGACTATTTTGGTTGAGAGATTTGGGAAGAGATTTGAAAAGAGAAAGAGAAAAAATAAATGAAATGTGAATAAAATATACTTATCTTTCATTTAATTTCACCAACATTTTTCTTTTTCTTTTCTAAATTTTTCTCCAAATCCCTAGTTAAACACAGTCTAAGTCAAATTTTTTGAAAACGTGTAATGGTATGAATCTACGAGTTCAGCTACACATTTGCCATGTTGATCATTTGTACTTTATTTTGGACTTCAGTGAAACATTGCAAAATGAACACAAGGTACAACAACACTGAAAAAGATTTTTTGTTGTTTTTTTTAAAACCAAACTACATAATATTTTTCAGCTCCAAAACTTGGGAATTAGCTACCAAGTTGCTAGTCGTGTACATGGATTAGCCGATCTGTTTGTTTGGAAAATCATTTTTTTAGTGATTTTTAAAATATGAGGTAAAAAAAATTGAAGTGTTTGATAATTATTATTAAAAAAAAAAAAGAACATGCAAAAGGTAAAGAGAATGAGACTGAATATTTTATTTTTTTAGAGGAAATTTCATTTTGTCCTCCAAATTATATCTCGATAATCATTTTAACCGCTGCAATTTTTATAATTTTAATTTTACATCTAGACTATTCAATTTTGGATCAATTTTACCTATGTTGTCAGCTGCCGTCTATAATTAGATGGCATTTGTTGCCGTCTTCATTTGAAATTTCATTTTACCCCTCAAACTATTCCCAAAATATAAATTAAACCCCTAAAAAATGTGAAGTTTGGGGGTCTATTTGATAATTTGAAATAGTTTGGGGGGGTAAAATAAAATTTCAAATCAAATTTTGATGCCACGTTATCAACTTCCGTTTGATTATAAATGGTAGTTAATGGCAGGGGTAAAATTGATCTAAAATCAAATAGTTTAGGTGTAAAATTAAAATTATAAAAAAGACAGGGGTTACATTTATTAGGTTTCTTGGCCTATATATACAGGCTTCTCCTATTGTATTGGATTAATTCAATAATATAGTTCATATACTTTTCTCTCTCTATTATTCTGACATTATCGAAGTATAATTTTGCGGGTAATAATTCTAATATAGAACAGACGTAGAAAGTAAAATCATAGTTGATTCTAACAGAAATCTTAGGCACATATAAACCAAACACAGAAGAAATCTCAAACACTCACATGATAACACATTGAATATTTAAGTTCATAAGTTAATATAGTACACTTATTCTGAAAACACATTCACTCTCACTCACATTAATACAAACATAGAAACTGTCTCATATGTAAATGCATAATAGTTTGTTGAAATAAAATAGTGGATGACAGGGTGGTGACCTAAGCAAACAACATCAGATCAATGTCGGAACGGGGGCGAAATAATAATAGTAATTAGGGCAATGACAGTCTATGTGATAGTGAGGAGGAGGAGAAAAGCAGCTGCCATAGTGGCAACAGTAACCCATATATTTTTGAAGTAATCACGCTTCAATGAAGCTTTTCTTCTGTTCCACCATCTCTTGCAATGAGCATTCACTACGCCGCACATTTTAGCATAGTAGAACTGATGCGTAATTATTCTTCCGTGACCGAGTTTGTTGAACATAAGTGCCACCTCTTCGTCATCACCAAGCCAGTTGTCAAGAACATCATGGCGACGAAGTTGTTTCACATCTTCTTTGGAGTTGATTAGTAGATCCATGAAGTATGTATAATCAGTGAAATATTTTGGTTCGTAACGCGAGGAATGTTGCTCATAGGCAATGATGTTACGGAAGAATGTTTCTGTCGAATCATCAACGTCCAACTTTGGTATTTTAAAATGACCATGTTCGAAGCGGATATCAAACATGTTGAGGTTGAGCTGATCATCATCATCCTCTACAGCCTCGAACTTGATACCAGCGTCCTGAAGCTCTATCACGGACGGCATCTTAAAGCAAGGTCTCTAATTCTTGTTTTGGCATTCATTTGACTTTTCTCTAGAGGAGGAGGAGGGGCGATAAACATTATGCAACAAGTCAAGAAAATGCTTGCTTTCAGAGACAGATTTATCTTTAAAATTGATTCTGGAAAAGTCTGAATTTTTTGGTATGATCCAATTGAAAGGCTTGTCAGCCAGCTTCTCAAAGATGGAGGTAGGAGGATTTTGGTTCCTAGTCACGAGGGGAAAAAATTCAAATATAACAAAGAATGGAAGTTGGTTTTCAAGCCGCATCAAGTCATAGCAAATACGTTCACTCATCCATAATGTGTTGGCAATGGGGTCGTAATCATGACACACATCTTGTGATTGTTGTGCTTGTTGACTTTGACGATCAGACTGAGGCACAAGAGCAAGAAACTCAACAATAAAGCAATCATCATATAGCATCATCTTCAGGAACTTGTCACTCTTCTTGAGGTCACCATCAATGAGGTCTTGATTAAGGCCGAAATGTACATCATTGAGGTTGTTAATTACAATCTCTTAACTTCACTTGTTGGTCAAACCGTATACTTTATGTGTGTTGAATGTCAATCAGGTTGTACATAGTCGGAGCATAAAATGGGCAAAAACACAGAATTTGGAGAGAGTTGACTTTTCCCGCACATGCGTTGACTTTCCCGCACGTGCGTTGACTTTTTCTGGGAAAGTCAACCCGACATTTTAAACCTGTTTGGACGAGATTGGAAGTATAAAAAGGCAAGGAAAAGGCTTTTCTAGGGTTCTAAAATTGTTTTGACCTAAAGAGAGAGGCTAGGGTTTGGGAAAGAGAAGGGAAACAAAAGCTTCAAGGATGTCTCCCATGGTGGTTCTTTCTCCATCTGCTCCTTCCACTCTCTCTGAGTGGCTTACGTTCTCCTTTCTATGGTTTTGGATGAAACCCTAGCCATGTAAATTATGTTGTTTTCTTTTTTTATTATTTATTATGTAAAGGTTTGAACAATTGGTATGGTGATTTAGAAGTTATATATATATTTTTTTTTCATTTATCTCTTCGATATTTGAACTTCTGTATTTTGATGTTATCCTACAGCAGTTTTTATATTCTTTCACATTCAAGGTTGAAGACAAAATCATACTACGAGGGACGATCGTGTCAACTACCTAGTTTAGAGTGAACAGTCGTACTACTTGAGATGGTTCGTGCTCGTACATTTAAATGTTGGAATGATTTTCTTGTTAAATGCTTTGAAATTGTAGTTGCAAAGCATTAATCTTCGTTTCGACACTATTGCATATTGATTTCAAGTTGGAAACCTTTAATTACGTGGCTAGTGTGGAACTCTTAGTTGCCTTAGTTTTTCCCCCAACTCAGTATAACCCATATTCATTAATTAATTGACAATTAAATTCCTTAGTTTTAATTTTATTCGTGTAATTAAAATTAGGTTATTAAACAACCAATCTTTTTATCAAAAATTAATTTAGGAATTTGACAATAATTATTAATGTTCATAATAGTCCCTGTGGATCGTACCTGGCTTGCATTTCTAAAGAATTTTGTGTAGTTAGTATTTATTTTGGTGTGTTTCCGCACATCAACTTTTGGTGTTGTCTCGGTAATGCGCTGCCATTATCCTCAGCAATGGGAGTGTTCATGCTGATACAACAAGAGTGTCAGCAGTATTGCAAACCAGCAGTGGCTCAAGTCAAACCGCTTATCTGCATAAAATCAGAGAAACAGTCCGACTGCCTCCGTAGAAATCTCTGCAGGTGCATCAAATTGATATGCTCAAGCGGGACCTGATAGCCAAGCTGATCCGTTGTAGATAGCTGAACAAACTCAATCGTCGCTCAGCTCGATGCCCAAGTGGAAAAGACCATCTTATGGACCACGGGAATCCAGGAATAGCAAGCGTACGCAGCTTGCCTCCGCCGGCATCATGTTGAAACAAGAGGTCACACGTGGTGGGCCCCCGGGAAGTATTTCTGGATGAGGCTTATGTATGGGCTGTCGATCCTCAACTTCCGGGAAGGGCTGATTTCGGCTTGGCGATAAGAACTCTACACTGTGGCAATGCGGATGAGGTGAGGTGGAAAACTTGACCATCAATGTTAGAGAGCAGTCAATGCCTCGGTGGTGTCTCTATATAGGGTTCTGGTATAAAAAAAAAAAAAAGAAAAAGGAAAGAGTCGGTACGCAGACGAGGAATAAGTGGTGCTGTGACAAACAAATGCCCGAATTGTTGCCAGAGTCAGGCTGCTCAACGCCCAAGTAGTCTGCGTCAACGCGAAGATAAATTGCATCGTTGACCTGCATGAGCTTGTGAAAGGGCGGGAAGCCCATTCCGGCCGGTGCAAAAGTCACCTGATTGGTGGTGGCGAAGGAATAGTGGTGACGGTGCGGTGGTTGCGCGAAGAGTGGACTCTCTGGCCTTCTTGAAGGCCCTGAGCAACCCAGTCGACTTCATATCCCTGCACACACGAAAAAGCAAATAAACACAACCTGTGGAATCCATTACTGAAGAATAAAATTAAAAATATCGAAGAGCAGCAAGTGTCCCACATAATATACAAACATGTAATTCCCACTTTTTGTTTTTTCTTTTTCTTTTTTTAATATATAAAACGAATTAATAAATAAATGAATTAAAATGACATTAAAGTTAAATAAACTAAACTAAATAAAATAAACTAAACCTAAAATAAAAAAGAAACAACTAAAGTATAGAATAATAACAACCCAAAACTAAAACATTTTTTTTATTTTTTATTTTTTATTATTATTTTTTAATGAAGAGAAGAAAATGAATAAAACTTTAGAAAATAAATAAAATAAAAAAAACTAAACTACTGAATAACTATATGAAACTCAATGAACTCAATAAAAAATATAAAATAAAATAAACTAACTACAACAAGCATAATAAAAATAAAGAAATAAAAACCAAAATCCACTAAAACTAATTAAACTAACCAGAATCAACTACGAAGCAATTAAACTAACAATATTAGTAATATAAAAAAAAAAACTGAAAATTAGGATAGTTGTTAAGCACCTGATTTCTGAAGGTTTTTTTTTTTTTTGGCTGGCCCAACACGTGCGTGGGAGAGGTCCACACGTACGGGGCTCATCTTCTTTCGACGATTGTTGTTGATGCTGCTATATGTTGTTGTTTGTTTTTTTTTTTTGTTTTTTTTTTTTTAGTATGAAACAGCTAATAAAGCATGCATTCTACAACTAAGGAATATACAAATATAAATAAAAAAATAACATTAAAAGAAAGAATGAGCACTAAAGTAATAAAAAAAAAAGTAAATCAGCCTTGTGAACAAAAGATTGTTTATGTTTAATATATATGATATATATATATTTTGGATGAACTATAGATCAAGCAACTCACAAAAAACAAAATAAAAACTCTACAATTACGTCCTACATCCACAAATCTACATAAAGAGAAAAAAAAGAATTACCTTGAATAAGTGGAGAAAGAGGTAAAAAGATAGAGGTTCGCCAGGAAAAAAATTGTGGTTCAGCCGGAGATTCGTCGGACGGAGAGGAAAAGTGACGCCGGTGGTGAGAATGATATGTTGTGAGGAAGAGAAAAGAAAGAGAAACCGAGAAGAAAGAAAGGTGGTTTGTGGATTGTTGGTTGGGTTTGGGGTTGAGAGAGGAGTGATATAGATAAGGTAGGGAGAGACGAGTGAATCTGAGAGTGAGAGGGAATTGAGAGAGAGAGAGAGAGAGGAGAGAGAGAAGAGAGAGAGAGAGAGTGTTAGATAAGGTTTGTGTTTTTTTTATTTAGTTTTATTTCCTATTTCTGGTAGCGCCCAACTTTGGGTCGTTAAAAATCAAATCGACTCAAATTTATAATCGGCAGGATAACTCATAAACCCCAAATATACAAAATCGACTGCCACAAATAATTAACTCAAATGTTCCAAAAACATATAATTACACAAATCCTCCAAAAAAAATAATATAAGTTTTGTGGGGGGGGAAAAAAAAACCAAAAAAAGGGAAATCCTCCAAAAAATCTTCCAAAAAAACAATCCCCCCCCTCCCTTTTTTTTAGAATGCATCAGACTTCTCCCCCAAAAACCGCCACAGGAAATTTGCTCCAACGCCTGAAAAAATATTAATTCGGGAAATAATTACAAGTACTCAACGGA